TGAAGGTGCCTGTGGGGTAATTTTGTTATCTTTAAACAGAGACAGGCTCACTGTTTCCCCCTGTTTATGATCTTTATGCTAAGCTAATAAGCTAATAATACAAAAGGAAGTCAGTCTCTCCACAATGTTAGGATGTTGCGATTGCAACATGCTAATTCAACCAGTCCCCATAAATTCTGCACGACCTTGCATTTTCGTCCGATCACAGCAACTGTTCTGCAGATTTGACCAATCGAAGTTTCTTATGAGTTTCACCAATCATAGTAGCCCCCTGTGCAGTGTCAACAAACTCACTTCCTTATTTCTGGTTGTTAAAATGCATACATGTGTGAAAGGAATGTCTCACATTTACCAACAAAAATTACAGGTGAAGACCAGACAAGGCGATTCCCTCATGTTCTGCATAAAAGCAGGGGTAAACTGTTTTGCACCATGTGCAACATTGTGGTGGAACAAACATCGATTCAACAAACACTTTTCTAATGCAAAACACACCCACAGAATGACTAAAGCGTGAGGACAGGGTTACATAACACACTCAGAACAGTGTGGTTTTATTCTCATTGGAACAAGTTGCCTTTGCTTTTTAATGATTTACCTCCAAATTACCCCCCCTCAAAATTGCAACTATTTTCTGATTTTCACTTGCTCCATCAATACACAACATCTAAAAAATATTGCAACATACATCACAATTTTTATTAAGAAAAACTACCCTAAAAAACAGGCATTTAGGCTGAAACAGTCCCTAAATAAAGGCTGCCAAATCTGGAAGGGGCTGATAGAGTATAACTTACGTAGTGAAAAAGCTGAATACTGAGCTCAGACCCTTTTTTGTACCTCCCCACACAGAAAAGACCATTGAGTGGGTGCTGCCCTACCAACAGTACCAAAACCAGCTGGTGGATCAGGCAGCTCTGATGCTGACCCTGTCTGGAAGAGTCAGTGAGACCCAGCAAGTGCTAGCCAACCAGACAACATTCAGGCTCCGTACACCTGACCTCATCATCAAGGTAGGTTTTCTATTTTTCTGTACATTTCCAGGATTACTAGTAGTGCAGAGCAGTATTCACTCTGGAACAAAGGAAGAGCATAGGAAAATGTCTTCTTTATCCCTCTTGACACATTTTGAATTATCCTCTGGCAGCCTTTTGGAGAAGCAGTTGTTGGTAAGGAGATGGCAGCCAAGATTACTTTCACCAACCCCCTGCCACGTATGCTAAAGGGAGTGGTGTTCAGAGTGGAGGGCCTGGGTCTGCAGAAGGGCCATGAAGTGGTTGTTGGGTAAGAACATGAGATGCCTCCTTCTTATTTTGCCTGGTTATCTCTGTCACCACACATTTCCCTCAACATTTCCTTCTCTAGACTAATATCCCACTCCTCTTTTTTCCATTTCCTCTCACAGTGATGTAGGTGGTCACTCCACAGTGACACTGACAGAGCACTTCATCCCCACCCAGCCCGGACCTAGGAAGCTGGTGGCATCTCTTGACTGTAAACAGCTCACGCAAGTGCATGGAGTGGCCGATATTGTCGTTCTTGAGCAATAAGAGGCAATATCACATCCCCGTCATGTCACTTCATTTCCTTATAAAACATGAGCTGAGTGCCTCTGACTATATGTACAGGGTCCTGAGTTCCTGTATCTTAAACTATCTTGCTTATTTTGTACTGAACCAACATTTTTGTTATTTTTAAAACTATGAATAGACAATTAGCAACTGTAGCACTATCAGTATTATATTTTTTAACTTAAAATAATATAAATTCACACGTCTGCCTTGCTCTGAAAGCTCTAAACTGTAGTGAAGTAATGCAGCAGGGATTAAATGCATGCAAATGAAGTGCTTTAATTAACAAGCGTTCTTACTTTGAAGTTATAAAACTGTCAAATTACACAGACTGTCCAAACACTAGTGCATTTCAAGACACTGACCAAAGCATGTGAAGGTGCAGAAAGTCAGGTCATGATCATTTTGTAATAATGTAAATACTGTATGTGTGTTATTCCTATAGCTTGTCATTAAAGAAAACATATGTGAAAAGTGCTGTTAGACAAAAAGAGCCTCATGTGGCTCACATGAAGGAAGAGTACTGTGAGGTGTTTTTAAAGGGAATGATGTTGAAATTGGCATTGACATTTTGCAAAGGGCACATTATTATAATTTCCCAAGTCTTTTCTGTCACATTTGACTGAAACACTTGTAATTATTGTTGAAAAGATAAAGTATTTTTTTCCCCGTACCAATTAACGATGGTAATTTCCAAAAATTGAAACCTACAAGGACATGGCCAAAAGGTTATTTTAATCACCAGATGAATGCAAATTCCTCACGCCTCCTTTATTTTGAAAACCAACAAGTGAAGCTCTCCATTTGCAGAATGCAAACCAAACTGTTCCCTTGGGAGGAATTTTACCAGATGCTTTTCTGTGTGTCTTGTGTGTGCCTCTCCATATGTGTGTGTATAATAACACTGAAGCCATCCTTACAATATATTGCATCTTACCTGAAAAATCGAACTTGGTTACTGCTGTGAATTCAAGCAAACCACATCAGACCACAGTGGCCTTAACTCACTTCAGTTTCACCTGGTTCTCATGTTTAACTTCAGCACTACAAACTACAATGTGAATTGAAGTATTTTAATAACATTACATTATTTATCTACCTGGACTGTTTTTCAGTATTATATGTGTTGTGATGGTAATAAACCTTACACTGAAATGATGGCTGACTCCTGAGTGACTTTCTACTTCTAAACAACATGAGACAAGTCTTGACTGGATGGCAATGAAAGAATTTATTATTTTTTTATTTATTTTTTTTAATCCAGAGTTTTAAGGGGACACAAGTGGCGACCTGTACTTTTCCATTTTTGCAATCAACCCTTTTTCGCCTGGAAAAAAAAAGTGTGCTGCTTGAGGTATGATTGTATAGTGACTCATTTAAATTGCGTAACTTGAGGCAGGTAACACACCTTTGTTGCCTTTCATGATTCAAGATCTCGATGACTTAATGCTTTATTTTCTATTTTTTTCCTCTGACATGCTTTGGGACTGATGAGTTAATGTTATATATATTTATGTTCTTATTCTTCCCTTCTGCTTTGTGTTTTATTGGTTGCAAAATGCAGTGTTTATTTTTTTCTTTAACTTAGTATATATTAACTGCAGTCTTTTAAAAAAAAGCATGGGAAGAGGATCAGTGTTGGAATGAAACAGAATAGCCTTTATTTATTGAAATAGTACTGTTTTGTGGTGCATGGACTTAATGCTTCTTTATATTTTGACTCCGCAACATTTTTTGGAGGGAAATATTAATTTTTTACTCCACTGTATTTATTTACTGGCTGTATTTACCAGCTATTTTTCCACTTCAAAACTTTACATACAAAACAGTGAAACAATTAATACATCAGTAATAATCATAATCAGAGAATACATGATAATAAAACAGTGCCAGGGGTCATTCTGCTGCCTTAGAAGTACATTTACTTTCATTTGAATTTTTATTATACCGTTAATTTTGTCAACAATACCACGTACTATTGCATTTCTATTTTCTTTTTTGTGTGTACATTTTTACATCCTAGTATTGCTACTTTTACTTAAAGGACCAGTGTGTACGATTTAGAACATAAATGGAATATAATAAGTATGTTTTATTTAGCGCATAATCACCTGAAAATAAGAACCACTGTGTTTTTGTTACCTTAGAATGAGTTGTTTATATCCACTTAAGGAGTGGTTGTCCATGATGTTGCACTGCCATGTTTCTACAGTAGCCAAGAAGGGAAAAACCAAACACGGCCTCTAGATAGGTAAAAGCCTGATTTTTTTAACGTCAAACTGCTGTATTCAGTGTTTTTAACCGATTTAAATCATGATTTAAGGAGACCTCTGCAGGAGAAAAAGACCTCTGCAGATAATTAAGCTCCTGCAGCGTCCTTTATTTCTGGATCAAAAATAGAGTGAGCACACATTACCAGTAAATAGGTAAGCACACATTAGCAGGTGCTGGGCTAGTGTCTGTGACGTGCAAAACAGCGTAGGAAAAACAGAAATTTGTGACAAAACTGCTTTATTCAGTCAGTGTCTTTACTATTTTAAACTGCCAGGTCTGTTTGTTTTGGAGAGGAGGAGACCTCTATGGATAATTTGGCCCCCAGTAAGAACCTCCGGAATGTCTGGATCTAAAGTTATCAGAGAAAAAAGATGAGAGCACATTAGCAGGTGCTCGGCTAGCAGTCCATCTCCATCAAGCCAAACAGCGTCAGAAAACACTGATTTATAATGCATTACTGCTTTATTCAGTGTTTTACTGGTTTAAATTGTTTGGAGAGGAGGAGAACTCTGACGATAATTCAGCTCCCACTTAAAATCTCCTGAACACTGAAAAAATTCTAAACAGATGTTTCAGCTGGTTACAATTTGCAATCCTCACCACTAGTTGCCACTAAATCCCCCTTTGAATATTTCTTCAACCACTGATAGGGTGATAAAGGGAACTGGAACATACTACATAATGTCCTATAGTTAAAAGCACAGGCAGTAGTGCTGGAATGCAGTTAAATGTGCTTGAGTATATCCTTTTAAATTATGATTCTCAGAGGGAAATACTGTATCTTTAACTCCCCTTTGTTTATCTGATAGTGATAGTTTATATACAACACATTTGACCCTCATAAAATATGAAACACTGTTTTAGATTAAACTAACATATTGAAAAATAGTTACACTTCAATCCGCTGCAACATTAAATTGATGCTAATAAGTCAATCATATGATAATTATAACATTGATAGGAGCTATTCTACCTTAATTTGCTAATAATATTTGTGCTTTTACTAACACAACATTATGAATGCAGGAATTCCACTGTCCATTTTCCACTGCTGACAGACATAAGCATAAAGTGCACTGTAAATATAATAGGAATGACACTTACTGACCTCTACTGGTTGGGCAACAAAGTGCATCACATGGATTTCTACAGTCGCAGCTTGTCAAATAGGTTTTTATTCTTTCCAAAGTATAAAATACAAACAGCTGCTTGATACAGTGAAATACATAGAGGAGAAAAACAGAGGTTAAATAAGAAAAATGTTATACAGTACTTAATGGTTCATGCCGGGCACATAAAAAGTGTTTATCAGTAGCCATGTGGCACCTCTGTATCACATAAAACCAGTGCATACAGATTGGTGTGCGTGTTTCACTTAATGTTAAAAATATAACAGGCAACATAATTTAGCACTGAATTAAGTGGTTCAATTATTCCTCTGTGTGACCACATTAACAGACAAGTTCAATCATGTTATAAATAAATCATTTACTAACAATACTAAATTGAAAAAAGCATGTCTCAGCTTACAAATGACAAGATAAGTTAATTACATTAATACCAATAATCTGTTACTATGAGAACAGGATTCAAAACAAAATTACATTCAGACTCATGTTGATGTCCTGATATGCCCCGACGCAAAACCATCCAGCGTGCTGCACATGCAGAGCTCGCAGTCCTATTACCATCCGGAATTGCCTCTATACTTTCAGTCCTTTTAAACACAGACACATACGTACACACACACACACACACACACACACACACACACTCAGAAGTCATCAGTTAACAGAGTTACATATATTTTCAACCACTCTGTTGAACTCCCCTGGTTGATCAGCATATACGTGGTGAGAGGCATCATCGATCAGCTGCACAGTGGAGAAAAAGAAGATAACAAAAACTGTCAGCACTCATACACTACCACATGGAGAAGAAAAAAAATGAATTGAGTTAAAATTACACTAATTACAAGCTGAAGTACACATTTTAGACCCCTAATTGGATAATATGTCCCTCATGACTCACCAGCACTCTGGTGTGGGCCTTGTTCCTAATCTGTACCACACTGTCCCCAGATGAGCTGTCCACCCAGGATCGTGCTCCATACAGCATGGTGAGGGGCATGGAGGGGGGCAGCAGGTGAATCCGCTGCAGCATGGGCCTCTTGGCCCAGCCCAGAGACTCTGACATGGCCCGGAAACCCACCTCACCACTGGGAACAGTAGGAGAGGAAAGAGAAAATGTGATACGAGATGGGTCAGCTTTTATCAGGCATTATGTTCTGTAACTAAAAGTGTGATTAAAGCTGTATTTGGTCATTTCCATATATATATATAATGTTTGTCGTATTTGCTGAAATTGTCACTATATGCTGACAGTAGTACATGAGACAGCTAATCTGCAAAAGAAAAAAATCATGTTCCTCTACCTCCTCCTTGTGCTCCTAATGGCATTTGCTGAAAGACATTGCGCATGAACAAAGATAAAGTTTGTGACCCAGTCACAATGTTGACAAAAGTCCAGCAAAAACCAAGCACTGCCCACAGGATGCAAATTTTCTCATTTTACAGCTAAACAGTACACTGAAATATGTTTCTGAAAACATTTAAAGCAAGAAATAGGTAATGCAGTAACAGACTGTTAATTCATATTTAATCAGTGTTGCCTACTTTGAAAGTTTGACCGCAGTTCACTGGCAGTAATTGACGTGATTGACAGCGGCGCTAGAGACTCTGATTGGTTGTTTTTGTTCAGGTGTTGGATTCTTGCAAATGCCATTACAAGCACTATCAGGAGGCAGAGGAACATAATTTTCTTCACAGATTATGTACTACTGTCATCATATAGTGACAGTTGCAGCAAATATAACTTATCTTTATTAGAGTGACCAAACACAGCTTAAAACACACTCGTGGATGCGTCAAGCATAAAAGCTACAGTTTATAATTTTAATACAAGAACAGGAGACAAATCAACTGTAAAAACAATTCATGTTGCTCTGTCTCCTTTAGTGCTCATGATGGCATTTGTAAGAACCCACCGCCCATGAATGAAAACAACCAATCAGAGCTGAGGAGTCTCTAACACAGCTGTCAATCAAGGTAATCAGTGCTCATGAACTGCAGTCAAACTGTCAATCTAGGCAGCGCTGATCAAGTATGAATCAAGATCCAGTTACTTCAGTGCCTACTTCTCACCTCAGATGTCTTCAAAAACATATTTTAGTGTACTGTTTAGCTGTAAAGTGAGACAGTTTGCTTTGTCCAGTGAGCAGTGCAGTGTTTTCAACATGGCAGCTGGGTCACAAACTTTCTTTTACCTGTAAAAGCTAAACAGTATACTGAAACATGTTTATGAAACATTCGAGGCAAGAAAAGGGCAATGCAGTAAAAGAACCTTGTTTCAGATTTGATCAGCGCTGACTAGTTTGACAGTTCGACTGCAGTTTACGAGCCACGATTTACATGATTGACAGCTGTGTTAAAGACTCCTCAGCTCTGATTGGTTGTTTTCAATCACGCACCATTATGAGCACTACAAGGAAGCTGACTATCTGTCTTATGTACTACTGTCAGGATACAGTAACAGTTTCAGTTAAAATGACAGAGAGTTATTTCTAGCTTTCATGCTTGATTTATGCTTAATACATCCCAGAGTGTGTGCAAGTGTCCACATGGTCAAACTGACATCACACCATCAGACATGCCCATTTGCTAGGGGTCCCGTCTGTGCACATCCCTGTCCGTGCACATCCAACATTTTCTAACTACACTGACACATATGGGCAGAGAACACAGAAAACCATGCAGAAGATGTGAGTTTTCGATACACTGCTTTGGGAAAATATCAGTCAGCTGCATGGAGGAACCCACATGGAGTATAAAAGATCCAAAATTCTCCCTGTTACGATTCTGTGTCAGCTCATGTCTGTGGAACCGTCCATGCAGAAAGCATAACTGAGGCTTAAGTGATGCATATATTGGCTTACCTCGGGGTTTGTGCATTACAGTGGTAGATGTATTGCGTCATTGTGTCATCATCAAACAGATCTTCAAATTTCCTTTTGAAATCAGGACGGAATCTGTTCACCAAACCTGGACCTGAATCAATGACATACTGTAAGATGGGTGGAAATAATTACAATGTGGCACAGCACAGTTTTGGATAAACAGTAAGACATCTCACCCCATGGACCTGCTGCTCTGATGACAGCCAGGGGGTTGAAGAGGGAAACCACTGTTGCGATAGCTTTTACCCAGCGTGGAATAGGTGGCCTCCTTACCACCTCTGTCCTCTGATCTTGACCATCTTGGGTCTGTGTCTGGGGTCGCTCTGGGAAACCCCAGGGGTCCACCAGGATAAGATGTGACACTCTGCAAGGAGGGCACAATACATTACGAAAGCCCATCAACTGGCATTAATTTGTCTTTAAAAACAAATACACAGCATAAGGTGATGTGCATTGCTGTCTTTGCGAATACTACCACTAGGGGGTGCCAAAGTCAGGAATTTTCAAATTCTACGCACAGCAGCTGCAATTTCTTATTTTTTGCTTGTCTGGGCTATTAACACCACAATATGGAGGTACGATTAAAAAAGGAACCTTACAATATGGATTATTAAAATCTGACATTTTCTCACCCATATCTTCATTTGTACATTATTTTCCCATGTTTTAGTACAGGTTTAAAGCAGCATAAGAAGATTTTTTGGCCACTTGGGGGCAGCAGAAAAAAAAACTGTAAACACAGCACTGACACATTACCACCTTATGAAGTGGTTATGGTGAACATGTTGGCAAACGGTTGCCTATTTATACATATAGCTGACACAACAGAGAAACATAAGCAATCTTTTGGAGTCATGTTTCTAGACAAATGATAAATGTGAGAGTATTCATTCTACTTGGAACCAAAACAAATGGCTGAAGAGCTGAGGGGAGCTACAGAGTTCGATGGTTATTCTAGTTATCTGGTGGTAATTCTATGTCTGTGTCAATACGAGTGCTCCCTTCATATTACACATAATAACTTTATCCACACTTAATATAAGAATATTGATTATTGCAGCTTTAAGTTTTGGAAAATGTGCTTATTTGCTTCCTCGCTGAGAATTAAATGACAGTATGTCACTATTGTATCTGTATGGTAAAATGAAATTACAGTAAGCAGTCAATTAGCTTAGCATAAAGAATAGATACAGGGGAAAAACTAGCCTGGTTCATCCCAAAGGTAACAAAAGCCGTCTACCAGCATCTCTTAGGATCACTAATTGACACTTTATATATCATTTGTTTGATCTGTACAATAGCCCAAGTGTAAGAGTGACAAGTTGTGATTTTAGGGCGGGTTATGATCACTGCTTGTATTATTATTATTATTATTGTTGTTATCATGTTGCTAGCACTTGTATCAAATAACCAACTTCATCAAAACTAAATCGTTAGAATTCGACAATTGGCAAAACGTCCACAGCATAAACGACTGTGGATTGGCATGGAGGCTGGGGGTGTGAATCACCAGAGGATGTTAATATGTTGCAATAAGCTTAGTTCTGCGATAAAATATATTAATTTATTACCTTTTTTCAACTGTAAATTGTGTCCCCAAGGGACAAAAACAAAGCAAAATGTATCAAGTGGACTGAAAACACAATTGATTATATTACTCTTGTAGGCTATTTAAAGTTTTATTTGTGTTTGTAATATTAATAATTTATATAATTAAAATGAATTTATTATTACATTTATGATTATTATTATTATTATAATTAATTGGCACTGTGTGACGATACAATATTGCCATACAAAAATATTGTAATAGTATGCTGTGTCAATTTTTTCCCCCCACCTCTAATGGAGGCTGGGAAAAATTATTACTGTCAATAGAGATCATATCTGACTGGCATGAATTTTGATTTTGACATATGTATATTTAAATCAATAGTATATATATTTATTATTCGACTGAAATTCAGTTTTCTTAATTTTAGATATGAGCTAGGTTAATATTTAATAAGACACACTCAATGTACAGTATCTGAATATCTGCCTCATGTCATGTTCTGTGGAAACACCAACATGACTCACCGAAGTCCTTCATTCTAAAACAAAACACTAAATCACTTCCAGCTGTGAGTATTCTGTTCTACAGCTGCCCCTCATTATCTCATGTTTTACGTGGTGTCCCAGTAGTATTATTACCTAGAAGGGTACTGGATGGCGTAGGAGGTAGCCAGGTACCCCCCCAGACTGTGTCCCAGCAGAATCATGTTCTCCAGGCCTACAGACTGTCTCCACTGCTCAATGGAGTCGACAAACTGCTCCTCTGCCTTGGCAGCGTCTGAGGGGAAGGGAGGTCTAGAGCTCCTGCCAAAGCCCAAGAGGTCGAAGGCGTAAACAGGCCGTGACCGACTCAGCGCGTCTATGTTCCTGATCCACAGGCCTACCCCTCCTCCAAAGCCGTGGACCATCACCAGGGGAGTCTTTGGGGCTGAAGGAAAAAGACAGAGGCGTTACGTCATGGGTTATACAATGCATACAGAATCACAGCTGTTGCCTCCCAGTAAACAAACAAACAGTGAGAGGAGGGTGATACCTTGTTCTGCAGGTTTGTGCACCGCCTTGTTGGTGAGGGTCAGAGTCCATATTCGATCCTGGTTGGGCAGGGTCACAAACCGAGCCCATAGGTCATTCTGAATACCTGCCGTGACCAGTCATAGCGGAGTAATGATCAGTGCACCCTCAGTGGAGTTCTGTGTTTACAGCTGGTTACATAATGGTGTTGTATTACACTTGCAGAAGCTCGTAGATATTTCTTAAGAGTTAGCAGCTTTTATATGTCATTACAACTGATTAGCTACATTTGTATTAGTTCCCAGTATCTGTCAGTACATCAAAACAATCTTACAAGCAAGAATCTTGGACTCTGTAGTCTTTAAAAGGGACATGGAGGTTGGACGCCAGGAAGGCCACCAGTTCCAGACTGAACTTGGCCTAATGAGAGAAACAAAAACACAGAAAGAAGAGATGGTAGATAGTACAGTTAGTTAGTGCAATTAGTCACCGCATGCTGAATGTACAATACAAATGCTTCTGGGCCAAGTGCAAGGTTAGAGTCAGTGTTATCTGTTTGCGTGGAGCAAACACAGGCAGGAGTGTCAGGTTTCACGGCCATCATGATGTCAATCAAAGTTAGTGCCAGAACCAACAGCAGTGAGGTAACTGTCAATATTCATTATGATTACCTGTGACCTCTTAAAAGTAATTCTTATTTACATTTCAGGTAGTTTACGCTGCTACATGAACAAAACATTTACAAACCAGATTATTGCCAACCTTTTTATTTTTAAGGAACTATCAAGGTGGGTAAACTGAGCTGAGGTGGCTTGACCCTGTACTTCCTCTTTGATAGGAGACAGAAAAAGTTCTGTCTTAGATTTCTCCCTCCACCATCAATACACCTGGTACACCACCAAAGTTTCCACCTGTTATGCAGTCAAAGGGCAATTCAAATCTCCCGAGTCATTACAGGTGGCCATATCTCCAGTGAATGAAATGTTAAAGACTTGTTTAACAGGAATGGCACATTCAGACAGTCCCATTGATTCAATCACTGGCCACTCCTGAAAGTTCCTAATGATTAATCCTCGTGTTCCTACAGTACTGATTCCTTACAGTAAATTACAGTAAGACAGTAACCGGCAACTTTGTGATCAATTTATTCTGGTTTAACTTTTTTTCCCTCCTATTTCTGATGCACACAGCTTACTGATGGCAGCATTTGTGTTACATAGTTAGGTGGCTACACTTGAGAAATGATCTATGTGTTATCTCATGTATCTTAAACACACCAAATATAAGATCATAATGTCCAAATTGATTTAAGGAACAATGACACAGCACTTCAGTTAAGTACTGTAATTGCACAGAACCTAATGAGCGTCTTAAAAGAGGAAAGCGACACAATAAACGCATTCAGTGTTTTAAAGTTTAGTTAGCGTGTCATGTAAGCAGACTAGCGGTGTGCTGGAGGAGACTGTATCCAGTTGTTTACCTTCCGAGTCACTTACTCTGTCTCACAATCGTTTTGCATCGGAGCTGTGGTTGTAGCAGGGTCCATTGGTTGACATATTCCGGTGACTACATTCAGTTAAATCAAACTGTGAGGCCGACAACACGGTTTGTACCTGCTTTTAAATGACACCTCCTCTGTAGGTTAGTTTCTTACGTTTTGTAACTCGTTCATTCCAAGGATCAGCTGACCAACCACAAAGATGGTCTATCACGAAGATGCGTCACTCGTAACTGCTCCTCTAACTCGTTCACAGTCAATAAAAAACTAATGTACACCCTGTGTGGTTTATCAAAGTGATCAATTTACAATGTTTATTAGCCACAAACATCCAAATGGGCCAGTATTATAAGTAAGTATTATAATATTATAAGTATTATTTTATTGTATTGCTGCTGCTAGTTTGCCTTTGTGTGAATCAGCCTAAGGATCTGTTCGTTACTTATCTATGCTTATTTTTGAGCACTGGGGAGGGACTTATGTTTCATGTTTTGGCTTTGGGAAGGGGCATACAAATGTAAAAGGTTGCATTTTGTATTTATCTTATCTTATCGCAGTTTTTTTGTTGTTGTTTTTTTTAATGAAAATACCATCATTGCTTGAAATTGTGAAAACAAAAAAGTATCATTGAGTTTCCAAATATCCGACAGTCTTCGGACACATCATATGCACTAAGGCTTTTGTCTTGGAAAAAAAGAAAAAAAGCTTAAAATAGTAATATGTCATCAAAATCACTTTATTCTATATCTCATTTAATTTATCAGCCCAAAAATGAACTGTTTGCATTAATTTACCAGCATGTAACTCTAGGATAACATCTTCAACATTAAACTTTTAACTATGAAACATCAAAGGGTGTGTTTTAAAAATCAAATATAATTTACAACAACGAAACAACGAAAAACATTTGTTGCTTCAGGGAGGGTTAAAACAACAACAACAAACAAAAATAACACCCGCCCACCCCCTCCTCTGATAAGTAAAGAACAGTCCCAAAGTCACGTCGGATTTTGTAAAATAATCTTTCGGGATTTAAATTGGTCCATAGGGTACTGGGGCTCCTCTAGTACCAGCAAAACTTTGATGAGTTGAGAATGCAGTTGATGCAGCCGTATCTCGGAATACTAGCGGAGTGAATGCTCTTACTTATTTATACCCATCTCTGATGTACAGTGGGAGGCGCCAAGGATCATTTCTTTCCACAACGGGCCATTTTTCCATTCTCTCCGAGCGACTCGGAATATATTCGTTGTAACACCAAGGCCGCTTCCGGTTAATGAGGACACGTCACTCATTCGTTTGAGGAAGAGGAGCCGTGCAAACCTCGCTCATTGACCCCATTTTGTACAAATAAGACGGCTAAAACATGTCGAACTCAGTCATATCTGTTATTTCTCGGTTCCTAGAGGAGTACAGCTCCACGACGCCCAACAAGCTCAAAGTGGTGGATGCGTATCTGCTGTACATCTTGTTGACAGGAGCGCTGCAGTTCCTCTACTGTCTCCTCGTTGGCACCTTCCCCTTCAATAGCTTTCTGTCGGGCTTCATCTCATGTGTGGGAGCTTTCATTCTTGCAGGTAAATAGTTATTCAGTTAAATGTTATGTGTTGCCGGTGAATTATACAGTGCGATAGTCGCGAGGGTTTCAGTCAGTCTGGACTCGGGGCCCATTAGTGAACGTGTGTGCAGACACAAGTTAGCTAACCATGCTAAAGTCTAAGGGCTCGAGTTGCAACTGTATAAAGAAATGATAAAAAAAAAAAAAAAACAGAAAATAAATAATGCATGTACACTGAGCATGGATATGTTCATTCACCATTAGAATTAAAAAGTACGGCCAGTCTCCACTTTAGCCACTCTTAGCTAAGACTAGTCAACACAACAGTCCTCATTTCCTTGATTTGTGTTACGTTTTAATAAGAGTTGTTTAATCCATCTAGGTTTTATCACACTAACTAATTAGAAACTCCTTTGTATCAAACAAAACATAAAATATAAAGCAATAAAACAGCATAAAAAAATACAGCCTCCATAACAATTTTAAGGCTGATTCATCACCTCTGCCAGGGTTAGACATTAACACCAGCCACCAGCCAAATGCTGGTAAAATATGTAAGTGGCTGCTTGATTGCAATAGCCAAAAAAATAGTGCTAATGTATCGAGTGGCTGGTAGATTTTGAAGTCCACCAGCCACAGTGGCAGGTGTACAAAAAGTTAATTTCCAACCCTGTCCTCTCTGCAACAGTTTCAGTAAGTACTGAACATTATAACTCTAATAAAGGTTGGATGTTTTGCAGGACTGTTACCTAGAAATTGTCAACAGGATGTACCTTTGAATACTTCCTGGTAACAAAGAAGGACAGTCAAAACCCCGTTACTCAGAGCTCATATTGACGAATCTTCTGTAGATGACTTGCAAACTTCTCCATAAACAATTAGGCTAATTGAGAGAGACCGAGCATCTTGATTGATATGATGATCCTGACTGCATTGGACGGCATAATCAATCTATCTGATTAATCTTTGTCTCTAAAATGTCAGGAAACAATGAAAAATAGCTTATTATAATTCATCAGAGCTCATGATGAGCTAACAGACCAGAACTCAAAGATAATCCGTCTACGGTGATAGAAGTACAGCAACTTAACTTATGAATATCAGTGATTCAATTTGATACATTTTCTGCTGACTAATCAATTATTCGACTAATCGTTTCAGCCCCACTGCACAGTAACATCAACGTATGTCACATTTAAAGTTCAAGTAATATTTCATGAAGTGTTAATAATTGTTTGTGAGTTTTTAAACCTTGGTAATCAGTTTTGAAAATATTGTCTGTTGCATTATTGTCATACAATCTGATTGTGGCTCCACTGAGGAAGATGTTTTAGTATTGAACTCCAATGTAGATCTAGGGAGAATGAATCAGACACCATTGCACGTGTTATTCCTCTTGTTTCCAGACAGTATCAGGTTCAAACAAACCTTACAGATGCACTATAATTCTTAGAGACACCTGTCTGTAAAAATGTAACCATGGAAGCAACAGCAGAGTTTCAGTGCTGAAGTTGATACACTTATAAGTTAATCAATTTATGATAATAACAAACAGCTTAATTAATAATAAAATTATTTGTCAGTAACAGTCAAAATGTTGTCAATAATACCTAATCTTCTGTATCTTGTGCTTTTTTTCTTAGTATGTCTTCGTATCCAGATCAACCCACAGAACAAAGGAGACTTCCTGTCTATCTCTCCAGAGAGAGCCTTCGCTGACTTCCTATTTGCTCACACCGTCCTCCATCTGGTTGTGATGAACTTCATTGGTTGAAGCAGACGTCCATCTAATTCACATTGTCCCCCTCTCAGAAGGTGTTGTATAATCCCATTGTTACAGTCTAGTTTTAGCCACGATAAAGAAATGAATGTGTTATTCTTTAATTTCATTTATTTTTAATTGATGTTTGAACACAGCTGACATCCAGCAGTCGTCATATTAAATTCTGTAGTTGCTTTTCCTTCCAGCTGTATATTTTACACTCCTCAGAGCATGACATTTTTGCAGCTGTTGTTTAAAACTACCTCATTGTTGAGTTGCAGCTAACACTTTCTGGAGCACACTGATTAATTAGACCTGAACATTTTTCAGCACTGACGTGGTTTCAAGGTCATGAGCGCCAAATAGTTTAAAAATTGTGTTTCGTACTGTTGGTATCTTTTGAATAATGAGAAAAAAATGTAATTGGATGAGAAAATGTTTTTGGGAGGTGATGTGTGTGAGATATCCATTAGTGTTTATAGTGTCTCTCGATGGGCAGTAAATGGGAGATTTAATGAACTCCAAGGATGTTTATGTGGGCTTTTATGCAGATATATGCTTTACTGTGTTGGTTTATGGCTGTAAAACAAGAAATATACCCTTGTCCTTGGGGTGCTCTCAGTCACATTAACCATTCTTGCCAGTTCATCACTTCATTCTCAGTGGAATAGCTCCAGATAGTGCATGTGATAATACAGACTCCAGTTTAACTTCTCTGGGGAGATCCACATGATACCACATATTGCTTTTGCTCGGCAGGAAAACATTGTCACTGATTTTTTTAAGACTTCGAAAGCGCATACTGCATTCTCTTGTTTCTCATTTGCTTCTAAATAACTCCTTCCATAACCTCAGTGTCGCTTACTCAACGACCTCTTCTTTTTTTTCCATAGATGACAAAAAGAGATGTTATCAGAACTCCCTTCCAAGACATGAAGCTACATCTGCTTTTGTGCCACTGAGTTCATCCCACAATCAACACTGAATTAGTTGCATCTTTTCATATGATGCGGTACAATTTTCTGACAGACGATTGATTTCTTGCATTCTTTTTTTTAATATTGATATTTGTAAAGCATTCCCTTTTGCACTGAGAAGAAATAAAAACAACTCAAATGGTGACCTTGACAATAATGAAGCTGTTCTTGAACTGTTTTTTTAGTTTTTAGTTTTTTAAACACATGCATGATACTCTCCAAAAAAGTGTAAGTGTGAACAGGTGTCATTTCTGGTTTAAAAAAAAAAAAAAATGAAATAGATACATTTGTCCATAACAGGCTGAAAATAAGTTAAGCAATAAAGGCCATGCACTATATTTCATATTTGAACATTAAAAATGTTATTTATTTTTAATATGAAATTATAAATACCCACCTAACTCTACTTTGTCAGAGTGACCTCTGAAGCACTTTTTTTCATCAGGGTTTGGGGGAGCTGCAAGCTACATTTTGAGTTGGCTACAGAAAAAGAAATATATGTTTAAAGGCTGACAGGACAAAAACTGTAACAGGGAGAATTGCCAGGAAAAGGCTCCATGCCTTGTAGAACTTTTTTTGAACCCCACAGATTGCATCTCTTGCTTTTTTTTTTAAAAGCCTGAAAAACCGAGACTAAAGTATATGCTTGTGCCAATGAGAGTGAGCGTGTGCAGCACAGTGCCTATCATGCTAAAAGAGGGGGAAGCAAGAACATTGCACCCCAGAGCAATGAGAGGGTTTGCTGCTATTACTCGCTGTGGAATAACTGATGGAAACACATTCCAGCTCAGTTACTTGTGACTGTGCAGAGCCACTTACATTTGTCAAAGAATGACCCGAGGGTAAATTTGAGCTGGTTTGGTCTTGGCGTTTCAGTGTGAAGGCCAGTT